TTTTTCAATTCTGCCTCCTCCCATCAATTTTCCTCTCCTCTCTCCCTGCCATACGCCCAGTATCCCACTCATTTTGTCACCACCGAAGAAAAGAAAATGAATGCCTGGTGGGGAGCAGAGGCAAACAGGCAAAAAAGAGGCAAGGAGAGAAAGCTGACCAAGTACATTACATCTCAGGAATAGGCATCTGCTGCACTGCCATCTGTGTTCATGACTTTGCGTTGTCCCAGTCTTGAACAGCAAGCTCCTCTTGTACTTGTCTGTCCCTAATGGATTAGCAGAAAAGGGGAGGACCAAACAGAAATAAAGGCACAGACCTCAGAGTACAGAAAAAGCTCTGAGAAGGTAAGTACCAAAAATAAATAAACTGCCCTTTGCTCGTACTACAACAACAATTGAAAACTTTTGTCATTATTATTATTATTAATATTATTATTATTACTTTTTATTTCTCTTTTTAAAATTTGTCTTCTGAATTTTTGAAAACTAACTTTCAGATGTTGGAAGGTAATTGTAAACATTTCTTTGATTTTTGTTTTGAAAAGCACTTTTCACGCTAATTAATTTAGCTAATTAAATTAACTCAGTGCTTTTAAGACCAAAATAATTGGATTGAGAGACTGCCTTCTCTTTGCTCAGGACAGTTCTGTGACTTGGATCAATGCAGGATGAACACCTGGTGCAATGGTAGAAGTGCCATTATTGAATCACTGCACTATTTATTTGTGACAATGACAGCAAACCATATAAGAAAGAGCTGATTCTATCACATACAAATTCCTGGTGTGAACAGTTAGACTATTTTGGATTAAAGTATAAAAAATATTGGAAGGCAGTTATTGGTGGAGAGATTATTTTGAATGTATTGTCATCATCACACAATTATTTAGCTATTGCTGACTACAATTTACGACTGAAGAATGACAAAAAAAAAAAAGTACCAGCAAAAAAGTGTTGGGAAACATAAAATCTGTGTGAACCACATACTAAGAATGTGAAGAAACTGTGCCTCTAAAAAACAACTGGAGAGCTAGACTTGAACAGAACAAGCACAATAGAAATAAGCCTCCTTTTTCTTCCTTCTCTTGTCTCATTTTTTATCAGTCCTAGAAACAAGGGCACATTGCCAAGGTTCAAATAAAGGTCTTTCGTTTCCCTGAAAAAGGACTTGGCTTAGGCCAGGGCCCTTTTCTTTACTTGCTTTACTCTTTTCCTACCTCTCAGGTTTTTATTTATCCACTGAATCTTTAGTCCCTGGAAGCTGCCGATTGCTTATCCACTGGCCTTCTGTCAGATTGCCCATGTTGATTTTCACGTTGATTGGTTGTCTACTTCAGACCACTCCAGCTGTCTTTCTCTCTCATTCACTCTCTCTCTTTTGCTTATTCCCTTAACGTCACCCCCCCCCCCCTATTATGTCTTTAAACAGTATTGGGTTGAAGAGAAGCAACCCTTCCTGTAGCTAAGACACAGAAGAAAGGGCAAGCTTAGGTAAGTGCATGATGAATTTTGTGATGAAAGGTATCCAGACATCTCTCGTGGCATAACTTTATGTGCTGTAGTATACATGCATGCTCATTTACTTTCTGTGATTAAGTTGAAAATAGGCCAATATGTTTTCAAACTAGTAGGGGAAAATTAGATTAGGGCAAAGTATGTGGAAAATTTTTATTTTTTGGCTGTTTTAAACCATCATTATACTTTAAAACTGCATTTTGTTGCGCATGATACAGTTATATGTGCAAGAGAACGATTTTTTTTTATACTGTTTTTTCTCATTGCACTCTCAGCTGAGCATATATTACAGTCATTTCTACAGTAAGAGTACCTACACACATTCACATGGGCTCACGAACAAGTCCTCAGATTTACGTAATGTTTAGTTCAGAGAGGTCTTAAATCAAGAAGAAACACTAAATTTGAGTTGGTCTGCTATGGGTCAGCAAAAAAAGATGAATTGGTAACACACGCATCCTTTAATAGTGCAATGCAAATAAAATAGGAAAATAAACCAAATGCCTTTTTCTCCAGGCAGAATATAAAGCTGTATACACCCTTTTGCACATCCACACTCCCACTTAAGTTACCTTTTTACATCTTTTATTCGCTTTATACTTTATATTTGGTCATTTTAATCTCTGGTGTCTTAATCTTGCACAGTGGCACAATAATTTTCTTTGGGATGAATAACATTTCATCTTATCTATCTTGTCTTACTTATTGAATATGGAGGAGTAATAATGTAAATTATTTTAAAATTTAATGTGAATAACTTAGCGTTGAGGGTGGCATGGTGGTGCAATGGTTGGCACTGTTACCTAACACTGCTGGGACCTGGGTTCAAGTCTTCCCCTGGGTTTCATGTGTGTGGAGTTTTCATGTTCTCCCTTTGTTGTCGTGGGGTTTCCTGTGGGTTCCCTGGTCCCCCCCCCCCCCAGGGTCCAAAAACAGGCTGAGGCTAATTGGAGTAATTAAATTGCCCATAGATATGTATGTACAGTGGTACCTCAGTTCTCAAACTCATTAGAACTCAAATTTCTTAAAAGTCAAACCAACCAGTTTGAAAAAAATTACCTAGAACTTGATCTGAATCTCAGAAGTCAAACCGTAAACAGCGACCTAAGATAACTTGTACACGCATGGAAATGAGTCACGCAGCACGTCTCTCAGCGGAAACAAAGGGTACCGCTTCAGTCTCAGCCTCGCGTTCGCTGTGATAGCATCGTGCATGTTTACACTAGCTGAATACATATATTTAGACAGTAAAATTACATTTAGACAATGATAGACAGTAACAGTAATTAGTATTATATAATAAAATACATTTTAAAATAAAGATTTCTTATTAGTTATTATAAAAATAAAAATGCATTTAATTATAATAATATTGTCGTGCCGAGCAGGGACAGAACGGGGACAAAGGTGCAGACGTCAGGGTATCGGGGAATACAGGGTTTAATTACAGGTAAGGCAGGCAAAATGCAGGCGGACAATACAATGATCGGACTGGGGAAACAAACTGAAACGCGGACTAAATACAGAGGACTAATGACAACAACCAGAAACAGCTGATGACACGGGGATTCCACACGGGATTAACGAGGGGACGTGGCACACGGAAGGAGCGGACGATCTCACATTGACGGACACATTGTTTTTTTAACTTTACACATTTTTTGGATACATTTATTTTCTTACTTAACAAATTACTGTTTTGATAAATGTGCTTAGATGTGTTTAGTACAGTAGGCTATATGCTCTTCTTGTTTTATCCTGTTCATTTTGTGTTTAAAAATGCTAAAAAAAAACATATTTAGGTGAAATTTTTTGGTTTTCCGTTATTTCTTATGGGGAAAATTCGATCACACCTCGAACTTTTTAGGATTCGATCAGGAGTTCTGGACGGATTAAATTCGAGTTCTGAGGTACGACTGTATGTGTGAGTGAATGGTGCATATGTGCATGCATGCCCTGTGATGGGTCGGTGCCTCATGCTGGGTTGTTTCCCATCTTGCTCCCATACCCCCAGGACAGGCTCCAGACCCCCGCAACCCAGAATAGGATCAGTGTTTCAGAAATTGGATAAAAGTTAACGATGGACAGTATATTTTATTTGCTCCATCATCATCCACTGTTCCATTACCACATATGGTAGTTTAGTTATAGCTAAACAATATATTCTTAAAAGAAAAAAATATACATGTTTTTAATAATTTCACAATATTATACATCTTTCTACTTCATTGTATTTGATTATTGTTGAACAGAATAAGTGTACCTTCTACTTCAGTAATGCACGTCAGGGTTAAAAATGATTTCCTAAGAAAATGATCATTTTGTAGAACAACATACAATGATTTTTAACTTAAAAATTGCCATATCTAACTAGTGTTTTAGCCAGTTGTAGTACATTCCAGTTTATTCCAGATCGTATTGTATTTTATTATAGACATAAGAAGGAGGGTTTAGTAAGATGAATGAATTACATATAAATATGATGAATCTTGTTTAATCTGGAAATTAGCAGAACATTTTAAACTGAATTTGAGAAAACACTTTTTTACACAGTGTGTAATTAAAGTATGGAACAGTCTTCCTTTTCGAGTAGTGTAGGCTAAAACCATGGGTTCCTTTAAATCAGAGCTAGATAAGATTTTAACAACTCTGAGCTATTAGTTACAGTAAGTTCTCCCCAAACGAGCTTGATGGGCCAAATGGTCTCCTTTCATTTGTAAATTTATTACGTTCTTATGAATCTATGTCCATTCAATACACACCTGGGTTCCACCTTTGCATCCATTAGGGTGGAGTATATAATGGAAGATGTCAGGAACAAACAGAACAGAAAACAATGGCTGATGACTTGGAGAAGCAACCCTGGGAAGCAGAGGGCTTTCTGTGACCAAGGTAGATCTGTTTAGCATATATATGTAGATGTGTATCATGTTCAGATAAAATGCTGCTAATAGGCCTGCAGCACCACAGAGACATCAGAACGAATGAAAAGGGTAGCCTTTGTTAACCATATACATTGACCTGTGATTCTATAAACTTAAATTTTGATGTCCCTTAAAAAACACTAAAGGGGACACTGATGAGGATTACATAGACAGTACATCACCATACCAGTATAAGCTGTTTGGTTTAGGTGGAAGTGGACAATTAGCATCTGCCTCTGAAAGCTCAGTCTCGGTAAGATACAGGCTGCCTGTACCAATCCCCCTTGACCTGAAATAAACAGTGCTGCATACTGTAAACAGCTTGAATGCAAAGCTCATGTTCTGTTCTAAATTAATGAGTGTAGGTGATAAGCAGTAGTTATAATTAAGGGCTCAGCTGAATTTTAGCTTCTGGATCTTTTAGACAGAAACTGGTTTATTTATTTATTTTTAATTAGTATCACCTTCGAGCTTTTCATCAGCCATTCAGCCTATTTAAATGGAAAGAACATACTACTGTGTTGTTTGGTATCGTTGAGTGCGCCACACTGAACATGGACCAGAGAAAGCAAAGGAGAAAGCTTTCTCAGGAGCTCAGAAATAAGATTATAGATAACCATGTTAAAGGTAAAGGCTATAAGACAATCTCTAAGCAGCTTCATGTTCCTGTGACCACAGTTTCCAATATTGTTAAAAAGTATGAGGTTCATGGGACTGCAGCCAACCTCCAAGGACATGGATGCAACTGGAAATGCAACACCAGGTTGATGAGAAGGATAATGCGGATGGTAGAAAAAGAGCCAAGGAAACCATTCAAGCTCAGCTCCAAGGTCAAATTACGTCACTTTCTGATCACAATATATGGGCTCCATGGAAGAAGACCCAGGAGGGCTCCACTATTGACAGAAAAACATAAAAAAGCCTGAGTGAAATTTCCCAAAATGCATGTTGACAAGCTCCAAAGTTTCTGGGAAAATGTCCTTTGGACCGATGAGACAAAACTGGAGCTTTTTGGCCAGTCACATCAGCTCTATGTTTCCAGAAGGAAAAATTAAGCTTTAAAAGAAAAGAACACCATACCTACTGTGAAACATGGAGAGGGCTCGGTTTTGTTTTGGGGCTGCTTTGCTGCATCTGGCATGGGAACCTTGAATCTGTGCAGGGCACAGACTACCAAGGCATCCTGGAGCGAAACATACTGCCCAGTGTCAGAAAGCCCAGCTTCAGTCGCAAGTCATGGGTCCTCAAACAGGATAATTACACAAATATACAACTAAAAGCACTCAAGAATGGCTGAGAGAAAAACATAGGACTATTCTTAAATGGCCCTTCATGAGCCCAGATCTTAATCCTATTGAACATCAATGGAAAGAACTATCTGTTGGCAAATGTAGATGTCTCATTGTGAAGGACAAAGATTACTATTTGGCAATGATTGCTGCAAAAGGTGGTACAGTGGTGCCTGCGGTTCACGAACACAATCCGTTCCAGGAAAGTGGTCATGAACGAATTTGTATGCGAACCAAGGCAAATTTTCCCATAAGATAGCACTGAAATTTGACTAATTAGTTCACAAGCCTACCAAATAATAATTTTTGTTAATTTTCTGGTTTTTATATTAAAAACACAATATAATGTGGCGACAGGCGGACCAAGGCATTGTGAGAGCAGAGAGAGACATGGAGACTTCACGCTTTTTATTAACAGTCATTAAAGCCCTTGTATTGTTGTTGTTGTTAATGTTAATGGTTGCATTTCCCTTCAGTCACGCGTGTGTTTGCCCGTGTCTTGTGTGTATCTGGTCCAATCCTCATGTGTATTTAGCATGTGTAAATCTTCCACCGTGTGTGCACCTTGCAGTTCGACGTCTGATAACCTTGTGTTTCCCGTCTGTGTATTTGGGTTCAGTGTGCGTTGGTTGCCTGTTGTGGTCCTTCTATTTACAATTGAACGCAGGGCATGCTGGGACACGTGCCCCACCGGTGCTACACTAGCATAAAAAAAGGAATCTGGTCGAGGAATCTGTTCATCAACCAAATTTTGTATGCGAATCAATGCATTTTTTTCACAAAATTTTTGGTCGCGAATCTAATTGTTCGTAGACCACAGCGTTCATGAACCGCAGGCACCACTGTACCACAAAATATTAAATTATGGGTACCATATTTTTTATCCATGCCATTTTCATTTGTCTAATTAAATAAAATATTCAACTTTATCAATAATCAAAACAAAGTCTGATTTGTGTTAAATATGAAATAAACAATAAGGGATGCCATTAAACTTCTGTCAGTTTCAAGTTATTTCAGAGATGCTAAAATATAAAGTGCAATACAAATAAAATGTATTATTATTATTATTTATTATATTGCCAAAAGTATTGGGACACATGCCTTTACACACACATGAACTGTAATGACATCCCACTCTTAATACATAGGATTTAATATGGAGTTGGCCCATCCTTTGCAGCTATAACAGCTTCAACCCCTCTGGTAAGGCTGTCCACAAGGTTTAGGAATGTGTTTATGGGAATTTTTGACCATGAGAACACGTTTGGTGTCTGTAGCTATGGACTCTGCAGATAGTTGCTTGGCCATAGAAACCCATTCCATGAAGTTCTCTACACACTGTTATTGAGCTAATCTGAAGGCCACACGAAGTTTGGAGGTCTGTAGCTGTTGACCCTGCAGACACTTGGCATGCGTTGTCCCCACTCCATGATTTTACGTGGCCTACCACTTTGTGGCTTCCACATTGTTATGATACCACTAACAGTTTACTATGGCTGCAACAATGAATCGATTAAATCGGTAAAAATCTATTACTAAAAGAGTTGGCAACGAATTTCATAATCGATTCGTTGTGTCGCGCGACGCGGAGACAATTGATTATTAAAAAAAAAAAACTTTAGTTGAGCGCGGCGTGGAGTGAACACACTCGGTCTCTCGCGCACTGATGCTAGCAGAGTTCGGCGCCTCATAGACAGGGCGGAGCAAAAATAAAAAAAAAACGAGCGGAGGTAGAGGAAAGATACATGGTGGAGGCAGAAAAGTCCGTGTGACCCAAGTCATCCAAGGTGTGGGAGCATTTCACACTAAATAAACAGAAAAAGTGTGTTAACTGCAAAATATGCAGAAGCGACATGGCATGGCACGGGAGCACCACGGCAATGATCCAGCATCTGAAACGCAAACATGTTGCAGTGTTTGATGAGGAGGAAGGGAGTTCAACAGCAGGGTAAGTCACTACAGAATCCAACTTTTGTTCCATTTTGAAGTGAGGAACGTAATGTCCCTGGTGCTGGTGTTTACTCGTTATCCAGCTTGACAAGCATGACAAGTTAGCGTTAGCTCGTTAATAACAGTAGTAAAGCAGGGGTGGTATAGTTACTTTGCACTTTGCATTGCAAGACTAAAGACATGTTTTTATTCACTCGCCTTTTTTGGACCATTCATTTTTCAATCTGTTGTCATGTATAGCTACACTGCAAAAAAAGCTTTTCTTACTTAGTCATTTTGTCTCGTTTCCAGTCCAAATATCTAAAAAATCTTAAATCAAGATTACTAGACAAGAAAAATGGCATGAGAAAATTAAGTGATGCTTAAAACTTCTGTTTGAGATTATATCTCATTAAGATTATTTTTCTTACCCCATTGGCAGATAATTTTGCTTGTTTTAAGCAAACAATCACTTAATTTTGAGGTGTTTTTTCAGAAAACAAGACATAATGCTATTTCATGTGTCTAGTAAATGTATCTTGATTTAAGATTTTTTAGATATTTGGACTGAAAACAGGACAAAACTACTAAGTTAGAAAAGCATTTTTTGCAGTGTATATTCTGTGCTTTGTCCCATATAGGTTATTATTGACAAATATATTTGTGTGTGTTGTACCTTTTAATTTAATTTTAAAGTTCTTTTATAGCACTTGGTCATCTTAAGCTGTGTTTAAATGTGGTGTATAAATGAACCTTGCACTTACTACATTGATGGTAATAATTTAATGAATAAGCTTCAAGTGAACTTGAGAGAGAGAGAGAGTGTGTGTGTGTGTGTGTGTGTCTTGTCAGTAATTGCTCTTTGGGTTACTTACCTTTACACAACTAGTAACTAAAACAAGTATGTATGTATGTAAGTATGTATTTAGTTGATGTAAAAATTGTGCTATTACTCATACTCCTACTATCTTTTTGATTCCAGAAAAAAACAGCAAACCATGAGAGGCTTCTTGATGGGAAATGCATGATGTACACCACAGCAAGTCGCTGTCTTGACGGATAGTATCCTCAACATGCTCCTCACTGACATGAGGCCTCTGTCGATGGTTGAAGATGACGGCTTCACTAAAATTATCCACACCTCGAACCCTGGTTACACTCTGCCCTCCAGGACTCACTTCACAAAGCTCATGGAAAGAAAATATGAAGAGACATTCAAGGAAGTGAAAACTGCAATAAACACCAACAACAACAAACTTGCTCTCACCACTGATGTATGGACAAGTGTAGCAACTGAAGCCTACCTTGGCATTACATGCCACTACATCACAGATGACTGGGACATGCAGTCATTCTGCCTCACCACCATGCCACTGCAGGCCAGACATACTACATCTAACATTGCAGAGTGGTTGGAGCAGGTAGTGGCCAGATTTGAAATTCCTCCTAGCAAAATCATTGCCATAGTCCATGACAATGGTGCTAATATCGTGGCTGCAGCAAATATCCTGGAGTAGAAGCATGGGTGGTCCTCTGCACTGGCCATACTTTGCAACTTGTGATCAATACTGCATTGAAGCATCCAAGCATTGAAAAAGCTGTCGGGGCTGCAAGATGTCTTTTAGAACATTTTAAGAAAAGCGAGCTAGCCAGAAGTAAACTCAGAGAGAAACAACAACAAATGGCCACACCAGAGCACAGCCTTGTTCAAGACATAAGCACAAGGTGGAATAGCACATTCTATATG